TATTATTATTATTATTATTATTATTATTATTATTATTATTGCTTCCTTTCTACTTTTTCTTGAATTTCTCAGCTTGTTGTAATAATTTAATTAAACTTGATTTCCCATATCATACTAGAATCCCAAAAGACACTTATAAACTATATAAATCCGATAACGTACACTAAAATTAATCAAATTTCTATTGAAATATTTCGAAAACTTAAATTATAGAATTTTTCAAGCTAAAATTCGAGTTTAGCGCTCATAAAAATTTGGAAAGAGTTTATTCAAGTGCTTGGTTCTAAAATTCTGCCGTCCTGTGTAGACTTCATATATTACACAGGCTAGATTAATTCGGCTGTTGATCTACATATATCCTTAAAAGAGACAATCGTAAAAAAAAGCTATAATGACATCGTTGATCACTTAGCCTTTGGAATTTGGCGAACGCACACATACTCTCGCACACTCTCACACATTGACAGCTTTCCCACAAGAGAGGAAAGTGACACAGAGAGAGAGAGGGAGTGAGAGAGACGAAGAGAGAGTGAGGTGGTTGGTTGGCAATGCTTTTTGTTTTGGTTTTGATCCTTTGCGCAAATAATTGCCTAATTGTCTCTGGTCCGCCTCGCTCGCTGCCTCGCTGCCTCACTGCCTCACTGCCACACTGCTTGCTGTCTCTGTCAGTGGCACGCATTTGTGGCTGCGTTCGACAGAAGGAGAGGGGTGGAGAGAGAGGGGAGAGGGGGCACTGTGGAAATGGCAACGCATATTTCTTACGCAAATCCATTTTCATCTATTAATTGGCAGCCCTCGGCAGCTGCTCCTTGTGGAATCCTGCTTCTGCTCCTGCCGCAGGACCATCGTTCCTCTTTTCTTTTTTATTTTACACAATTAAGCGCTTGTGCAAATAAAAAATGAGCAGAGCTCTCTCTCACTCCCATTTACCCCATTCCATTTCGGATTGCCCTTCTTCAAACTGAGCTGCGGTTCGATTTGCATACACACAACTCACATCCTGTGGCAGGACTCAGAATCGGACTCGGTATGCGGTTATCGATTGCCACTGGCATATCCCATAACCAAAACGGGATTATTTCTATTTCCATTTCCCCAGGACTGTCTTGATTTGTCTTCAACGAGCTATCAACATGATTTTTTACTTTTAACTCATTTGCATGGAAAATTACCTTAACGTTTATGGAAAACAGAAAAATAAGAAATACAGGAAAAAAGGGAAAGAAAAAACGGGGTAAAACCCAATATTAAGTGATCGCTGAAACATGGTTAAATAATTGGATCTTGAGATATGGTTGCTCTTTTTATACGACCAATTAATGCTCTTTGTTTTTATTATTTTATAATCTTTCAAAGTTCTTAAAACTTTTTGTTGTAGTAAAAGAGGTTTTATGCATATTAAACGTCATCAGACACTGCAATCTAGACTTTTGTAATAAATTTCTGCGTTTATTTGTTACTGTAACTACTATAGTAGTTAGTAGTATCTGTATATAGATCACTATATCCTTAAGTTCACATCTGAACTGCTAATAACTATATCTGATAGTTTCAATTTAAAACAGAGAGTATTTTAAGGGTATTTTGTATTATATCCTTCCAAAGTTCTTAAAACTTTTGCTGCAGTAAACAAGGTTTTGGACATATTGAGCGTCATAAGACGATTCAATCTAGACTGTTCTACTTTATTTTTATGACCTTTATGACCTTCCTAAGCCTCCCATTCCAAATACCTAAGACTATGTGCTATTTAAAAGATATTCCGTAAAGGGTATTTTAGCAACTGCTTGCCAAATAACATTTTCGCACGCCTCTTTTGGTTTGACTGCAAATTGTTATTGCAATTATTATTGCCGGCTTGTTGTCAACATATTGATAAAAGCCAGCCCGCCCTCTTTTGTACAAAACTCCCTTCAATAATTTGTATACGTATGTATATATGTATGTATATAGGGCAAGGAGAGAAGGCTTTGCTAACAAGCTGAGGCATAACGGTAATGCTATTGAATGAGGACATCGGCTGATTGCAGGCCATTGTCATCGATGTCATCGCAGTATCGAATTACCGATATTACCATTACTAATTTACGGCCCATGACAATTGCACTTTAAAGTCCTGCGACAGCGAAACGAGGTCGAATAGTTTAGGGAGGAAAATTTAAAATGAGTAGATAATATTAAAAACAAGAAAGGAAGCTAACTTCGGCACGCCGAAGTTTATATACCCTTGCAGATAGAAATTCTATGACTAGGAATCCATACAATATAAATTATATATATTTGTGTTAAAAAACAATGAAGTAATACCTGCTTTCATTTCATTCACCTATACATATTATATTTGCAGCTTTTCGTTCACAGATTTCCATTTTTCTTCTACATCAAACAATAGTTTGTATGGCACCTATATGATATAGTCGTCCGATTTTCATGAAATTTGACACAAAATTTAAGACTAATATAAAATGGCTACACCTCAAATTTGATGAAAATCTGTTGAAAACTGAAAAAGTTATAATTTTTAATTGTATTAATTTCTCGATCGTTCCTATGGGAGCTATATGATATAGTAGTCCGATTTTCATAAAATTTTATACAAAATTGTAGAGTATAATAAAATGGCTATATCTCAAATTTGATCCAATTCTATTGAAAACTGAAAATGTTAAAATTTTTTTTGTAAAAATTTTCCGATCATTCCTATGGCAGCTATATGATATAGTCGTCCGATCCGGCCCGTTCCGACATATATACGAGTGAGAGTATATAGAAGGCTAACTACAAAGTTTCATTCAGATAGCTTCAAAACTGAGAGACTAGTTTGCGTAGAAACGGACAGACGGACAGACGGACAGACGGACAGAAGGACAGACGGACAGACGGACAGACGGACATGGCTAGATCGACTCGGCTGTTGATCCTGATCAAGAATATATATACTTTATATGGTCGGAGGTGCCTCCTTCACTGCGTTGCAAACTTCTGACTGAAATTATAATACCCTGCAAGGGTATAAAGATATATATAAAAATAATTCAAGACAAGTCTTAAGGCAATACTTAAATAACATTACAGATCATTTTATATATTTTATATTATATATCTTATATTAAAACTAATTAATAATAATACCCTTATCCTTATCCCAGGTTTAAGGATTTTTATTTTTATTTTTGATTTTATATATCCTATCATATTAAAACTAATTAATAAAAATACCTCCATCATAAGTCTTGGTTTAAGAACTTATTTTCCGTATTAATTTTAACTTCTGATTTTAACCCATAACAATTTGAACCCCTCGCGCAAACAGAACCCCTTCTTTAACCCCACTGCGGTGGCCAGAAGTCAAGTCTTAAGGCGATACTTTAATAAAATTAATTTTATATATTATATATTTTTGATTTTATATATTTTATCATATTAAAACTTATTAATAAAAATACCCTCATCATAAACCTTAGTTTAAGGACTTTTTTTCCGTATTCATTTCAACTTTTGATTTTAACCCATAACAATTTGAACCCCTGGCGCAAACGGACCCCCTTCTTTAACCCCACTGCGGTGGGCCAGAAGCGGCGACAGTTGCTGCTGCGCTTGATAAATGAGACGGCGCCGCCTACGTCAAGCAGGCGTCAAGGGTTGTCGCCTTCTGCAGTTTTGCGGTGCGCCGCAACGCCGATCAAACGCGATAAGCGTTGAAAACGCTCGAGAAACGGGCGAGGAGGCGGAGGCGGAGGCGGTTAGGTTACGTGGCTGCGGTTGACAGTGCCCACCGGTGGCGAGTCAAAATTAATTAGAATTTTTCCAACGGACTGCAAAAACCTAGAGGGGGGATGGTACTTTATATATATATATCTACATACATATATACACTCCAACCAGGCTAAAGCGGCAAATTGAAATCAGTACAAAACAGTGGAACACAAAAAGAAAAAAAAAAGAGCGATCATTAATCATCGGGTCGAAAAGGGTTGACAAGCTGTGCAACTCTGCGACTGCGACTGCGACAGGGTTGCTTCTGTTTCTGTTTTCAGTTCCGGCTTCTTCCGCTCCTTGACCGGAGTCACATCCGCACCAAATACAACAATTGTGAACGGAAGGGGGTTGCGTAACCCTTAATGCATTCAATGCATTAAATAGAGTCACTCGCAGAGACCCCGAGAGACACCAACATTAAGCAATATGAACCAAAATATGACAATAAACATATTGCCCTTGAGGATGTTTACTAAAAAAAATACAAAAAAGTATCTAAAAAGTCTAATTTTTGTAGGGTCTAATTAGTTAAAAGTGTTAATTTAACACAAAGAATTCTTTATGATTTTATTTGATACCTTTTCTTAGTTTCCCATTTTTGTTAAGTAAATAAATAACGATACAATTTCATTCAAAAATAAAATATTAGCAAGTAAGAAAGTCACGTAAGCAAGTAAAGTAAAAAAGCTTAACTCAAATGTGATCGATAATAAGATATCCGGTACCCAAAGCTTTGGCACCTTAAAGAGAATGAACCATGAGCTTTTTGAAGTCCCTTAAGCTGTCTCAAGCATACTTCTTCCTAAGGCTCAAGCTTAATAATTATAATTTATGCAGTTAAAAAAAAAAACAAAACATATTTTTAAATAAAAAGAAAAACAACACTGATAAAACTTACACGTAAATATGTATGATTTTAGGTTTAAGATAAATCGCTTTGAAATCTAAGTGCTTGAATAGATTTTAAATATCCTTTTTATAAGTAAAAAATCATAAAAACTATCTATTATGCTTTACAAAAAAAAAGCAACATAGTTATCTCAGATATAAAAATATAACTAAATTCTTATTTCACCAATATATATATATATATTAAATAAATGTAAATAAAATAAAAAAATACACTTTCCAAGTGTAGAAAACTAAAAACTAAGGTATAAGCATTTAGACTTGTAATATGAAGTAATGAAAATAATACTGCATTTTCAAATAAACACATAGATAAAACAGTATAAATAACATAGTATACAAATATTCTTCAAGAAATAGGTATTTAATATGTTTTTGTACTTATAATAATCAATACATTTATATTTTAACAGAATAGTTACAAATAAAAACATTAATTGCTGGGCGGAGAACCCTCCGCAGATGAACCGGGCGATGTATTCTCTTCTTCCAATGATTCCTCCTCTTCCTCTTCCTCCTCCTTTTCCCCCTCCCCCTTCCGTTCCAGTTGCTCCTCCAACACCTCTGCCTCCGAATCCCCTTGAGCGAGCAAAAGCTGCATGACCTGGTCAGAGCTTTCGCGAATCATCTCCGTGAGAGCCTGAACGGTGCTTTGCTGACGCATCAACTGTACGATGGCATCATCCGTGACGCAAGGATCCCCAAGGAGCGTGGATCGGACCTTCTTTAGGGAGCGACGACAACGACGACGACGCCGGGATTCACCATTGCCGTCCTCCTCGTCGTCACCTTCGACCAGGAGCTGCACGGCCTTCTGTACATTGTTGCTGCTGCGCGCCAGCGATAAGCGTGCCTCACTCTCCGGATAGCCCATGGCGGTGATGAGTTTCACCAAACGTTCCGTTTCTGAGGCATCCGCTGCCACGGCAACAGCGGCCGCCTGTTCCGGAGATCCAGCTCCAGTTGGCACTTTGGTTAGCATGGAAATTTCCTTGGTTTGCGACATTTCTTAATAGTTTCTGGCACACGAGTTTCTGCGCTTCTAAGCGAGCTTTATTTCGATCTTCTTTTCGATATGGAAACAGATGTTTGTTGCTCTATTTCACTCTTCCTTATTCACCATTCTTTCATGGTGAGACATGGTGGAAGTCTATAAGGTGGTCTCATTGAGAGAGCTGCTCTCCTTTGAAGAGTGGAGCTTGAACCTTAGAGAGCGGAGAGAGAGGGAGATCTGCTACTGTCCTCAACAGAGCCTATTTGACCACCTTACATAGTTGCGTCAAGCTCTGAGAGAGCAAGCAGAGCCAGAGATGAAGAGAGAGGATCACATGGTTTCTTACTGTTCTTTCATTCCTTTTAAAGGGCGTAGTCCGGATTTCATTAGAGGGGACCTTTTAGATTGATATTGATTTAAATAAAAATTAAATCTATAACAAAACAAATAAATTAAGAAATATAAGCATAATTAAATTAATACAAAACAAGTACATATTTGCAATAATTTATAGAAATTTGTTTCTTAAAAGTTCATTAGTCTCAGAAATAGTAGAGGTAAATAGCAACGATTTTAAACAACATCCTATGAAAATGTTTTTATAAATGGCTTATTGCTGAGTAATATCGTTTAGTTGTGCTTTCTTATGCTACACATATTTCTGACAAAAACCAATAAACTAAGCAAGAAAAACAAAACAAGAAAGAAAGAAAAAAACACAATTACAAACGGCCGTGCTAAAATATAGTATGTATGGCAGAAATAACGGGTCCCACAGCTGCTGCCCAGGCCGACTTTGACTTCTATTTATGCGTTGCACAATTTTAAATAATCACCCCATTGGGAAATCTCGAGCAAAATACCCTTTCATTCGCCATCCGCCCCCGCCCGTGGCACCCGGAACCAGCCCGTGTTATTTACACTGATTTATTGCCATTTTCTTTGGGCTTGTTCTGTTGCGGCTGTTGCTGTTTCTGTTTCTCCTTCTTATTTTGTTGTTGTTTTGGTCACTCTTTTGTTTGCAGAGCGGAAAGGAAGGACACAAACAAGTGGCCCGTAAAAAACATTGGCAAACCCTCATCTATCACAATTTCTTGGACGCTGCTCGCTCTCCCGGCTCTCGGGCGCTTACATTTTTGGGTTTAAAAACGCATTATTTGGCTCTTTTGGTAATTGAAGTTTTTAGTTTTCATTAGCCGGCGACCATCCCTGGGACAGGGGTCCCAAAAAAAGGAGGGGCGGGGAGGTCCGACAAGGGACGACAGGGGCACAGATTGCAGGCCAAAGATAAATTGCACATTTAAATTAACCCATTAACGACTCTCTGGGATTCTCGAGCTGGGACTCTACCAAATGGTTACCAAATCCATAATTATAACCCTTTTTAGAGCAAACAAATATAGGACTTGGGATATAATAATGATATATAATATTAGGATTAATTTGTGGCCTTAAAATAGCAAATGCCCTGTACCCAGAGGCGATAGTATAACGAAACTATCGCAAAATGTTAGAAACTATCGCACTTGGAAACGATATAAATATGCAAAAGTAAACTGATGACTCGGTAAATGTTTAAAAATGGAATCAAAAAAGAGCATTTAGTGAAAAAAAACCAAGTGACATGTGCATATGATAATTTATTAATATTTTTTATTAACTTATTATTTACTTTATTTATTAATAATTTATAAATTATTAATGTTAACATTTTATAGCCTAAGATATCATTAAATGTTTACAAAAGATTCATTTTTGAGCTATCGAAAAGAAAACTTTCAGTGGAACAAACTGAAATTTTAATGTTTAGTTTTTGGATAATTTATTAATAAAATAATAATATAATATTAATAATATTTTTGAATTTACTTATTAATTATTTATAAATTAATATTAAAATTTCCTAGCCTAAAAGATCAATTTTTTAACTAAAGAAAACAAAACTTTCACTGGGACAAACTGAAAGACTAATGTTTGTTTTTGGATCTAAAAATATGAATGACATTTTAAAATATTAATGATAAAATATGATCATTTATTAATATTTTTAAATTTATTTATTTATAATTTATAAATTAATATAACCATTTTCTAGCCTAAGATATTAAAGGTTTGCAAAAGATCCGTTTTTAAGCTATAGAAAATGAAACTTTCACTGGGACAACTTGAACGATTAATGATCCGATTTTGGATCTATAATAATATTTTTAACACATATAAGTTTTTATTTAAACAAAGAGTTTTTAGATCTCTGTGTTAATGCTTTATATTATAGAATTTCCAGTTTAAGCAACATAACCTAATATCATACTAACTCTATGAGTATCATCCCGACACTTATGTTCTATTTATGGGTTTTTAAGAATTTGTAACATATGAATGATATTTTTACATATTAATGAAGGAAACTTGATAATTTTTTTAGTATGCATACTGAAAATAACAAAATTTTTATGTACAAAGTTTAAGGGACATATTTTAAGATCTATAATTTCTACCAGAGTCGTATCCCTTTCATCGTTACTGAGTACGATTTAAGCCTAATCGTAATGACTTTTGATTCCTTTATTCTCTTTTATCAGGATATCTAGAATCTAGAGAACTATGCCTACCAATTTCCGGGGTTAAAAAGTGTATAATATTTTAAAATGACTCCAGCTATACAATAGGGCCAATAAAAGCGAAATGGCATCATCGGCAGGCAGCGTTGTAAGCCGATACATTTGTGCGATTGCCTGCGTCAATTTTAAAGCGGAAATGAAAAGTTCCCCTTCTACTCATTGCATTTCAGTTACAGTTTTCCAACATTTCCCATCGCGTTGAAAAGCGCTTGAAATATGTGCGAAACGCGTGTGCGAAGTGCTTAAAAGTGCCCAAAAGAACTCGATACTTATCGGGTGTGTCGTCGAAGTCGAGGAATTGGGATTGTTCGGTTCGGTTCGATCCTCCAACAAATGGCAAAATCACTTAACACACCGTTAACACCCACATTAGTTGTACTCCAACGCACACACACCCATATTCTGCGTTCCACTTACTGCCAGAGTTTCAATTACTTTTCCCAGCCACCACCAAAAATTATTGGCCCAAGGATCTGAGGCAACTTCGCGACTCATAATCGAATTAAATGCATTGGCTCAAAGGGAAGGGGGAAGGGGAGAGGAGGGAAGGGGAGGGACTGAAATCGAAAAAGTCATTAAAAACGCAGGGAAAACGATTGCACGCAAATTTACTGGTCCCGCTGGCTGTCTTTGTTCCTAATACAAAAATCCCCTTCGTTCCTTGGCAGCCAACAGTTTGCGGCACAGTCGGGGTTAAGAAAATAGCATCAAAGTAAAGCCGATTAAATAATTTGGTTTGTCTTTTGCAGATAACAAAATATAAAATTTTATAATAATTTTGTTAATAATATAACAATTTTATCTTCTGTAATAAGTTCAAATAAAGAAATTATCAACTGTGGAAGTGAAGAATTCAAAAGAGGAAAGAATATAGAATAAGGGAAAATTTCTCTGCCTAAGCTCTTATTTATTAAGCCATTTTCATAAATATTTTAACTTCACCACTTTGGAATCAAAATTATAAATGTTTTTTTCTAATATTATATTAATATTAAATTATTATACTAAATTAATATTATTATTATTAAATTATTATATTTAATTATAATATTTCATGTAACGAAGCTTATTATTTAAAGTAATTATAACATTTGAAGATTTTTCTGGCTAAAGATTCATAAAAAGATTATTTGACAGAAATACATTTTTAAGCTTAGGTACTTTGAATTTAAATACAATTTTTTTATTATTAAATTCTTATTTACAATACGAAAATGGCTAAATAAATTATTATTTAAAATAAGTTTAATAATTAAAAATATAATATAATAATAATACAAATTAATTAAAGTTATTACAATATTTCAAGAGATTAAAATACAAATAAAGTTTATTATATTATAAATAAATAAATAATTAGTATATAGTATATATTAGTAAAAATTAAAGCAATTTGGAATTAAGATAAAGATTATTTTTAATATTCAACCATTATTTAAAATAACTCAAAGTTAATTATTTAAACTAACTATAATATATCAAGGGATTTTTTGCTAAATAAGTAAATAAAAATTAAAGTTATATGATACAATTATGCAAACTCCAATATAATTATTATTTAAGCTTATTTTTAAGTATTTATTGTAACTTGAAGTACAGAGAGAAACATTTTTGCTATAACTTAAGCAATTTTAAATTAAATTTAAATATTTCCTAATATTTAATCATCACTTATCTTATTTAATGTAACTCAAACCCAGATGAGAAATATTTTTGGTATAACTTTGATACCAAAAGGTAATAGTTTTGGTAATTTATATTATTATGATATGAAATATTTCCCCCAACTATATGTTGGCATACCTAGTTGTGTGACTATGGGTGTTCGCTTCACACATTCACTCACTAACCCACACACACGCACACACACACACACATGAGCTGGTCGAACTATGAATGGAATTGGCAAGGAAATCGCACGTGGCGATTCTTCTGGTCACCCGCGATAAGCAACTGCCGCCGCGTGTCCTTGCCTCCTTCCACCTTCGACCTTCCACCCCCCACCCACCATCATCATTATCCTCCGGCAGAGATACAATCGATGGACGGATGGATGAATGAGGTGTCGTGTGTTTATGACTCCCGTTGAATCCAAATCCGATTCAGATTCCGATTCCCGGAGTCAGTCGTTATTAATATTATTAGTGTTTGTTCGGAATAGAGAATGAATATGAATGTTGGGCATGGTCAGTACTGGGGAAAGCCGATTTTGTTTTATTTATCTTTTTTTTGGTGGTTGCGGGAAATGAAACCGAGGTGTATTTAGGGAAACTCTGGTAATATCTTACTGACCTGTGAATTGGAAAATTGAAGCTTAGTTCGACAGATTGTATCTTAAGGAGGTGGAAATCACCAGGGATTTGCACATATTAAAGATAAAATCCTTAAATAGAAACTAAGCTTAATTTATAGACTATTCGATTTGACCTTAAACTGACCAGGAGGGGAAATAGGAAACACAGCACACCCTCTCTTTTCTGGTCATAAATATTCATACAAATTAACTTTGTGGAAACC